GGAATGTGTGGAAACGAAGCAGGTGGGGTGCAGAGGAGTTGGAAAATGATAACACTATCTCGGGAGCGAGATACAACCGGAGCACCATTCGACCCATAGTGGAGAGTCAACGCCTCAGAATGACATACAGTTGAAGCACCATTTGCCCTTGGATATAGCCATAGAAGGAAAAATCTGGATGTCGACAGCCACCCTAACAAAAAATCACAAAGAAAACAGACATAAAACACGAAAATAACATATTTATGGACTTAGTGTAAATAGGAGGGGATCCCGCTCCAAATATGAAGGAAATCCGCATAAACAAAGTGTCGACCGACCATCCTGAACAAATCTAAGCCGCAATCTTTAGTGATACTGTAGCTAAGATCACGGACGACTCCCTGCGATACTTTAGTTCAAATCAAGATACTATAGCAGAACATGCGAAAGCGGTTGGGGTCCCTACGGTAGCTCCCGCATCAGCCACAACTATAGTGGATCAGCCTTATGCATAGGTTGTGGTTTCATAACCATTGGCAAATCCAACTCTTTTGTAGTACTACAACAAACATATTTGTGATGGGTAGTTTTTCATTGACTTCATTAACCTTCATAGAGATCTTATCTACCATCATATATAAACATTGATCTCCAAGAGCAAGTTCAATGATCTCCAAAAAATGGCCAAACGTTCTAAATTATTATGCTAGAAGGAATTCCAAAAACTCAATTGTTTGTTCAACTACACCTAGTAGTAATACCACAATGTTAAACCACTTACATGCAATGATGTAATTATAAAGTGTCGCTCCTCGGATAAATTATAGTAAGAAAAGAATTAATCATCCATGAAAATTCATTACTAATGATTATCCCTATTGAAATGAGAAATATCCCTTTTAACGATTATTGAATGAGCATGAGATAATAGCAGATAATAACAAAGATGGAAGGTATTCCATGAACAACCTTAAATTGCTCATCGGACTCTTTCAAATGATGATTTAAGCTGTAAAATTGTTGCTCCAATTTGCACTCTATCAGAATTAGAAATCAGAATATGCCTTTCACAATTATCGTGATAAATGCAATTGCTCCTCTTCCAAACACTTTTCAAACAAGCAACAATTGTTTAATAAGCTCCACATCCCTTCTACTATAGAAAAAAACCAAAGGAAATGTCTCCCTAGAAATGGACAAAAGACAACAAATCAACACAAAAAAAAATGTTATCGCTATATGGAATGGCCAGTTTCACACACACCAACAGGCAAGATCGGATCAAGGTTTCACAAAAGGTTTAGATGAATAAGATCGATGGTTGAGATCAACAAAACAAGTACTCTCGCAGTACAAAAAATGTCAAAGCATAAATAGCAATTGGCCTTGTAGAGTGATAAACAACATCGCAGGCTCCCTCACCAACCCTAAAGGAAGTGATTAAGAATGACTGGGCGGTAACTAGATTTGGCAACGGAGGATTCATAAATCATCGATGTTTATGCATCAATATCTGGAACACCAATTGGAAATGGAGGTAGGCTGATGCGGGGCTTCTATGGGACAACTGAACTAATCTGTTCAGCCAGAGAGACAAGGGCCAGCCAACCAACCGACCGGTCTAAGGCTACAGCTGCACCCTTTCCTTCTATGTTTGATGCACCCTTTCTTTCATGTTTGCCGCCAGCCACCCCTTCCTATTTTATCTTCTAACTAATATATATTAGTGAATTTGCTTGCTTAGGGTTGGATTTTGATTAATTTTCATGTCAGATTCTTGTCGTCAACCGTTCTTCAGTAGTTAAGGTTGTATTTGACAAAATCAAGTGCTCCAACTGTACCTACTTTGAGATTGTGACTATAACGACCTACTCCCCCATAAATCCCGCTTCCCTTGTCGTCGCCCTCCTCTTAGTTGCCTCCCTTGCCACTTCCCTCCTACCCCACCGCCTTTCTTGTTGTTGTCCCCCTTCCCGCAGTCGTTCCCTGTTGACGCCCTCCTACCCACCTGCCTTTCCTGCCTTTGTCCTCCTCTCAGTAGCATTCCCTGTTGTCGCCCTCCTAGCCCGCTGCCTTTATTACTGGTGCCCCCATTCCAGCAGCCACCACCAATCAGACAACCAACCATAGTTGGCAACACCAACAAGAAGAACACACCTCAGGGAGTACAGAAAGCTAATTCAAATAAGGATAAAGCCACCCCCGGTGAGAAGAAACTTGAGGAGTAGATCTACTGCAGTCCAAGCCAAAAAATGCTTCAAATGCCACAGATTTGGCCACAACACCCTTAGCTGTTTGACGAAACAAATTGACTTTTACCGAGCAAGGCACAATTGAGGAGGTTAACGAAGAGGAGACTGTTGAAGAACAGTGCGAGGTGCATCATTTTCCACCTGATAATGGCGAGATGCTCGTGGTTCAACGAGTCCTACGTACCAAAGATACAAGGAAATTCACAATGGCTTAGTCGCAATATATTCTACGCCAGTTGTTTTATGAACGAGAAGGTGTACAGTATCATCATTGATGGAGGGAGCAATAAAAACGTAACATCTATGCAGCTAGTAGAGAAATTAAGGCTCGTGACTCAGTGGTACTCCCAATCATATTCTTTGAAGTGACTAAAGAAGAAAAACATGCTCGGTATTGATTGTAGGTGCCTCGTGAAATTTTTTATTAGGAGCCAATTAAAGGATCAAGTGTGGTGTGGCATCACTGAATGTTTGTAGCCTTTTGTTTGGGAGACCATGGTAATTTGACCGTAGAACTCGGTACGATGGATTCAGAAACACCCACTCCTTCACCAAGAAAGGGAAGCACACAACCTACTTCCTTCAGTGAAGCCCAAGATCAAAAGAGTCATTAATAGTAGAGCAGCATCAGTGGGACGACAGAGAAAGATAGACCAAGACACCAACTCAAGACACTGAACAGTCACGACAGAGAGCATTTCAGGATATCACAGTCTATACCTTACTGTCATGGCCACCACAATTCAAGGTTCAGTGTACCCTCACTTCATATCAGATTGAACCGATCGTGGATTACTTTGGGATGATTCAACAATATATGCGAGAAGCATAGACTCAAGTCAGTGCAGTACTTGACCCCTAGAGGAACAGATTGGTCTGGATGTGCTGGCAAGTGGAGAAAACTCCTCTGATACATTGGGAGATAGTACAGCCGACAATGGGATCCAGGTGTTACCATGACCACAGACGAAGAATGAAAAGCTTCAATGCATGAAGTCGAAGCTACCCCAACCTGGGACATTGATGCGAGGCATTTATCGGTTGACTGAAATGGATGGTTCATCCAGGGAGAACAGGGCCAGCCAACCGGCCGACTAGTCCAAGGCTACAGTCGCGCCCTTTTGTTCCCTGTTTGTCATGTCCTTTCCTTCTTCATTTATCGCGCTTACATTCTCAATTTGTCATCAGCCTCCCCTTCCTTTTCTGGTTGTCGCCCAAAGGAGAAGTCTTCCCTTCCTTTTCTGGTTGTCGCCCAAAGGAAAAGCCTCCCCTTTCAATTGTATCTTCAAGCTATTATATATTGGTTTTTTTGCATGCTTAAGGTTAGCTTTTGATTAATGCTGATGTAAGATTTCTGCTATCAAGCTGTATCCGACAATAGGTGGTGCTTCAGTCATATCCTGCTTTGAAATGGTGGCTATCCCGACTTATTCCCAAACATATTCCTCTTCCCTTGTTGTCGCCCTCCTCTCAGCAGCCTTCTTTATTTCTGTCCTCCCACCTTGCCACCTTTCCGACTGATGTTCCCCTTCCAGTAGCTTCAACACTTCAACGCATGAAGTCAAAGCTCCCCCAACCCCGAGAGATTGATGTGAGGCTTTTATGTGTTGGCTGAAATGGTTGGTTCAGCCAGGAAGAAGAGAGCCAACCAACCAATTGACCAGTACAAGGCTACAACCAGGCACTTTCCTTCTCTGTTTGACACGCCCTTCCCATTTTCATTTGTCGTGCTTACCTTCTCACTTTGTCATTAGCCTCCCCTTTCCTATTCTGGTCGTCGCCCAAGGGAGAAGCCGCCTACCCTTCCTATTTTATCTTCTCGCTATTTTATATTGGTTGTTTTGCTTGTTTAAGGCTAGCTTTTAATTGATTCAGATGTATAATTCCTGACGTCAGGCTGTATCCAACGACAGGTGGTGCTTCCGTCGTATTCTGCTCTGAGATGGTGACTTTTTCAATTTATTCCCCCACATATCCTCTTCCCTTATTGTCACCCTCCTCCCAACAGCCTTCTTTGTAGCCGCCCTCCTACCCCACCACCTTTCCAACCGATGTTCCCCTTCTAGTAGTCATTCCCTACTCCCGCCCTCGTACCCAGCTGGCATTCTATTTGTTACCCTCCTCCCAGCAACCTTCCTTGCTGCCCTCCTCGTACCACACCACCTTTCTTGTTGTTGCTCCCCCTTCCATTAGTCGTTCCTTCGCTGTCGCCAGCCTTCCTTGCCTCCCCCTTGTGACCGGGTTTCCCCCAAACCAGTCACCCATCTGTTGTCCAGCCACCTCCCACCCCTTTCGCCATCGCACAGGGTGTCTTTTATGTTTATATTAATTTATTTACAATTTGAAGATCCTTTACTATAGCATGTTTGCATTTCAACAATCATAGCTTCTTATTTTATCTGTTGGTTTGGGATACATCTGGTATCATAGGAAGCCTCCCATGGTTGCAAGCTACTTGTAGACAATGGAAAGACCAAGGATCGAATGGCCCACGTCATTAGGAAGTAAGGTAGAACGTAATCAATATGCATGTTTGGGGATTGACGTAATGCAATTTGCGGAACTTGATTTCATTTGCGGAAGTTTAAGTAAATCAAATGATGACAAGCATAGCTGTTAGTAATGGTGATGAATCCCAAAAGATGGATTTGGAAATGGAGAGGAGATGCATTTGGAAGTCCGGTTCTTGGACAAAGCCAACAAGTATAACAAAAAGAACAAATACAACAAGGAAAAAGTTGTTGAATTTACTTCATATCTTTACCCTCCCTAAATGGGGGTATTTATACAATACAAGGCTTGTATATACTGTGTAAGTAATACCCCAACTAACTACTCTAAAGAACATCTGCATTAATGACACTGTAGTTCACACCATTGATCCTGCATTTAATAAGATTAATAGCATAAAATAAGAGGTATATATGGAAACATTCTTTCTCATAGGAAAAAGGCTATATATGCTTAATGAAACAATTATACATACTTCATTTCCAGAATAAAGTTGGTTTAGTTTTGAAAAAGCATAATCGTTGAACCAACATCTACCAGAATCAAGCATGCAAAAAGGTGGTGCAAATGACAAGCTTGAAAGCTACTTCTTTATACCTGCACTAAGGCCTCAGGCCGTGACTCAAAAACAATCAAAATCACACCAAGTGGACACAATGTTTTCTCCAAGATTAACCCATCTGCAACCTGAAAGAAATTCTCGTGAGAACAATGAAAACAATGAAGGAAACAAACTTTATACATAATATAAGTATTCAAAAAAAAAAGGTAAATTGAAAGGCGAAAGATAAGGATGCCCATGGTAAGATCATGATACTAAATGTTAATGCTGTTATGGTAGAGGGATAAGCATAACAAGGTGAAAAATAATCATAAAGATGAACAAGATGGGGTTCATGGGGTTGAGAATTTAGCCAAACTCATTACCTCAGTTCTCCTGACAACGGAAACTAAAGGATCTTCCATGTTCGCAAGAATACGGATTGAGTTCGATAGACTTGATATCTGTGTAGCAATGGCAACCCACAAAAAAACCGTAAGGGTAAATATCCCATCAATCTCCTCACACGCGTCATAATAAAATACAGATAATCTCAAACTGGACATAGAGTCAGTAGTTTGATTATTTCAAGGAGCATTCATGGAAAAAGGAATAATTTGGATGCTCTTGCCTTTCCAGGCTTCAAAATTAATCTAGATATCAATGATTTTTCATATCCAGACTGTTGTGCTGCAATAACATCAGCCCCATTTTCTGACAGTATTAGTTTTTCATTTTTCTCCAAAGCATCAGCTATGTCCAGCAAAATCCTCCTTCGGCCTTCAGATGAAATGCTCTGGAAAAACAAAAAAGGAGAACACGTGAAAAAAAAAGACTATCTGAATAGCCATCCAGATCATTCATGCATGCATTATTAAGAAATTCCAACGATAACAGAAAAAGTTAAGAAATTATGGCAAATGTATTAAGTGATAAACATTGTGTGCTACACCTGAAGTTTCCTTGAACAATCTCTTGCAGAAACCGCCATCTCACGTGCACCATCTTCTTGAGGAAGCGCCCATAAATTTGCATCTTTATGAAAAAGAGTGCCAACTCTCTCTCCTTGAAGCACCTTTATAATGCTGTCGGTTGCAAAACCACTAGAAAAACAAGTGAAATTATTAGCATTCATCCATTGATTTCATAAATAAATAGTGAAGCAAAGCTATAATCACATTCAATGGGTTATAACCAAAAGAAAAAAAAATGAGATAAGAAATTCAGGCTTTTAAGGCATTTTAAGCTTCAATTAACAGTATTTTCAAGGTAACGTCCAAAAGTAAGACTTATAAGTAGTTTGTGCCTCAGCTGTGACAGCACATGCCATGACCAATGTGTTCAAGGCCGCTCTTTCCATCGCAATCATGTTTTTGGCATTATGATGCATCCCCTTCAACTAAAAAAATGTCCCATAAAACAAACAAAGAATAAGAAATTAACAGAAGCCCGAAAATCTTAGATTTAAAATCAGCATCTGGTAAAATGGCTTTCCAAGCAAGTAAACATATAAAATTCCCACAAAGTGTAGAATGTGCACCAGCTTGTAAGTTACTCTTAGTACTGCAGAAAAAAAAAAAATCTTTTGAATAAAACGCAACGTTGCACAAATATTCTAGAGATTAATAAAAAAATACCGTAGCACTGGCTTAAAGTTAGAGTAACTTTCAAGCCACCAACTAAAAAATAGTACAACTATCAGTAGTTTCTAAGTAACACTTAATACGCAAAGCAAAAGAAAAACTACCTTGAATTATAAGCCAGAATGAGCTTTCAAATTTGGGAGGTAAAAGCATAACAATTAAGGAGTGTTGGATACAAGAAATCAATTATCAGATAAATTTTCTCCAGATCATCAGGGGAATGAAGGAAGAGAGCATAATCCAATTTGAATGGGAGACCGAAGAGGAAATTGAGCAGTCTAAAAATATGGGATCAATATTATGTTAGGGGAAAATAAATTTTCAAATACATATTAATGCAGATGGAATTTTAGGCTAAGAACGGATAGAATTTTGAAGCCTTTTAACACACGATAGCTTTCCGGTTCAAAAGACACTTTCATAATAATTGTTAACAGAGAGAAATTTCCTTTATAACAAAAAAGTCCTACGTGAAGGGACATTAAAAATGATTCATAAAGATTTATAAAATACAATGCAAAACAAATTAGTTTTCAACGAATTAGCTTCTAGGCTTGAGAAGTACAAACAGACTAGTAAGCCAATATCTCAGTAGCCAAGGGACGAACTATTGGTGTGACAAAGAAAAAAGTTTATGAATGGGTATCTATGATGATCGTAGAGCTCTTTACGATGATAATTAAATAATTTTAGTGTTTTACTTTTCTTAATAATTCCATCATGTATTAATTCTTATTTTAAAGGCATCTGTATGTTTGATTTTTACATTGATAACTTCATATTCCAACAATTCACCATATAATTCATATACAGGAAGCGGCAGAAAAAAGGTAGTGAAGGTATCTCAACCATCTCAGTCATGGATACAAAACAGCTCCAGAAATCAAGACCATTGGCTTGAGACAAATATGGTGTAATACCCCAAGCCTACTTCTAACAAACTCTACCAGTAGCTATCATAAATATCACCTATTGAAAATGTAGAAAACAGGTTTAAAGAGAAATAATTCCTTAATTCCATACTTCACGTGTAGGTTATATATATATATATATATATATATATATAGGGAAAACAATCCCTCATAATTTACAAGCTTACCAAATGTATTTAATCTAAATTAGGAAATGAAATAAATCTGAAATAAAAAATAAAGAAAAAAAATAAGAAGGGAATAAAACTAATTAAAGGGTTTCCAAAGCAGTTCCCAATCAAATCCTTTATGATTTATACAGTAGCCGGCCAGCCAACCCTAGCATCCAAGCCTAAATTCTTCTCAGTTTTTCATCCTCTTCAAGTTGGGTCATAGATGTTGCAGCAACCATGCTTGGTATTGAACTCTGAGAATGTGTTTAAAGGAGGTGCTTTGGTGAAGGTATAAGCAACTTATTGGTGTGTCAGGATGAAGCTTAGCTATATAATTCCCTCATTAATCTTTTCAAAATGAAGTGCCTATCAACTTCATACATGCTTAGTCCTATCATGATGCACATGTTTCATGACAATATTGACTGTTGCTTGACTTTCACACATTATTTGTATAGACCCATTGGAGGTACGCCCCAATTCCTTTAACAATTTCTAAATGTAGATTCCTTCACAAATTCTTAAAGCAAAAGCCCTGTATTCCGATTCAAAATGGTTTCTTGCTTCTTTCTTCTCCATGAAACTAAACTTCCTCATACATTTACAAATAGGAGCATTAACCTATGGTGAACCTTCTGTCAGTTAATTCATTTGACCAACTTGCATTAGTGTAGACTTATACCTCTTTGTTTCTAATTATCTCAAAAACTAATCCATAATTAAGACTTTTCTTGAGAAACCTCGGAATCTTGTACATCTTCAAATGCTCTTCATTCGGGTTATTTATGTGTTGACACGCAATGCTAACAGAGTATGCAATATCCGAACTGGTATGGGACAAGTTGATGAATTTTTCTACCAATATTTGATAACTTTCCTTCTCAACAGAGATGCTTTCTTCTCCCTTATTTGACTTGATCCATTGAAGTATCAACAGGCTTGCATCCAATCATCTATGTCTACTTTAGTAGATCTAGGATGTGTTTCCTCTGTGATATAATGATGACTTTCTTAGACCTTGCTACCTGCATATCTAAAAAATATCTCAAGGTTCTTAAGTCTTTAATTTCAAGCATGGTGGCAATCACTTCTTTGATCTTGAGAATATCTCTTTCGTCATCAACTGTAAGAATCATATCATCCACATACACTACAAATGCAACAATCTTACCTCCTTGAGTGTATTTTATAAAGTATGACCAGGTTAACCTTGAGAATGCTCATTATATATGATAGTTTTAGCAAACCTTTCAAGTCACACTCTTCGTGATTGCTTAAGCCCATAGAGAGACTTCTTGAGTTTAAATCCTAGGTGTTTGTTTGATTCAATCTCAAGTTCTGATAGTATCTCAAAATAAATTATTTCAGATCCCCACTCAAGGATGCATTTTTGTGTCAAGTTGATGCAATCCCTATTTCTTGTTAACTGCTACTGAAAGGAGAACTCTAATATTGTTAAGTTTGGCAACTAGTGTGAAGGTCTCCTAATGTTCTTTGAAATCCTCAAATAAATATATTCTCCAAACGTATTTCAAATCCTCAAAGAATATTCTTTTACATTATCAATTTTAAGGACTTGAATTTTGCCTTATAATTAGTTTAAATCATGCATTGAAGGTTTGGAAGATTTTGGCTCTTTCAGATTTCTTCTTCAAAAGGAATATCCCAGTAGCTATAGTGTGATCGTCAATAAATAAGACAAATCATTTAGCCCAGCTTAAGATTTTAAGTTTCGAAGGTCCCCAAATATCACTGTGGATTATTGAAAATGATTGTGACGGTTTATTTTGTATCATGGGATAATTATTTTTAGTGTGTTTGATAAGTTGACAAATCTCCTGATCATAAACAATGGATTTTTATCGATAAACAAATGATGATAGAACTTAGCAACATAATATAAATAAGGATGACCTAGGCTAAAACATCATAATAAAACTTGATTTTCAACAACCAATTACTCAAGTCTCAGAAATTTAAAACAAATATGGAGGTGAGTGTGTTTGGAGTGGACTTTCCTTAAGCAAATATAAGCCTCAATACATTTCAGCACTATCAATCACCATTTCCGACTCCATCGCCTGAAATTCACAAAATTTCAAAACTAATTTAATTATGCATTTCATATCATGAGTAAGCTTATTGATTGAATCAAATTGCAGTCCAACTATAGAACAAATAAAACAAAGGAAAGAGTAATATCTTGAGAGAGCCCGAGGTTTCCTTTCTCGAAAATATTTGAGTTCAATCCGTCTACAAGTCTTGTCGGCCAAGATGTAGAAATTTCTTAATAGTTCACTAAAGCATTGATGTCTACAGTCATATGATTTTAAATCTTGTTAATAGTGAGGTAGAAGAAAATATCGCTTTAGTGTGTCACAAAATTGGTGTGCTGCTTTGAATTACCTCCAGGAAGTTTTCTCAATACTTCAATTTATTCCTTGGGGAATGTTTCAGCCGACACTTCGGATGTGATAGCTGCATTAGCCTAGTTCTCTTGATCTGCAGACTTTCCATGAAATTTCTAATAATTATCTTTGATATGCCTAATCTTCTTGCAGAAGTCACATGTAGGAAATACTTCATGTGTTTTGAGTCATGGAAGAAATTAAGAGTGTATAGGGCGAGCTTTCAATACTTGGTGAACTCCCATTTCCATCAGCATCAACTTCTTTTTGCTCTCCTCTCCTAACTTTAGCAAAGGCTTCACGGAAGATGGAAGAGACTTTGCTCCCATGATCTTCTCTCTCACCAGTTGTAATAACTGAATTTTATTAATAATAATAATAATCTTATTAGTATTATTATTAAAATAAAATAAGGAAAAAAATTGAAACGACATCAGGAGTATTGTCCTCAGGATTGTTTTTAAGAGGCGAGTGACTCTTTCAAACCCAAAACGAAATAGATGAGTAGATCGACAAAGAGTAAGAGTGGGACAAGGATGAAGAGAGGAGGGGTCGTTTCCTGCCCTTATTTGCAGCCTCGTCGAGAAGTCTAGCATCTGGTGCCATCACCGAAGTCGGTAATGTGTTTTGTCGACACGCACAAAGGAGAGTGAGTTGGATGGCTCAGCATGCGTACTTGTGAGGAAGCCGAGCACTCAATAGAATGAGAAGCATCTTTGTGTGTTGTTACCGTGCGTGAAAGATGAAGAGAAAGAAGCCGAAGAACAAGATGAGGAGGAATGAAAAGAGTCGTGTGTCTTCTCGTATCAGAGATACAACACAAAGCACTAGCCAAAGAAGGCAACGACGTTGTGCTCAGGTCTAAGGGAAAAAGGAGGCGGCGGCATGTGGGTGTGGTGGACTCGAGATCCCATGCCTAGTCGCTTGAAGGAAAAGGAGCTTGATCCCCTTTCAAAGGACAGGAGGGA